AGTGGTTTGCTATGGAGGCACTCGGGAGGGGGGACAGGAACACTGGCAGGAAACCCGAGGAAAGGAGGATCGGAGCTGCTCTGTGTAAAACCATTACACAGAGCAGGTAAAAAAACATAAAAGAAAGACAGAGAGCACACCATCCTAGTGTATTAAAACTTTTATTATATAAACCAGAATATACAGTTGCACTCACAATTATAATTATGAGTGCAACTGTATATTCTGGTTTAAATATTAAACATTTTAAATATTCTAGGGCAGTGTGCTGTGCCTTTTTCTTATATTTTCACAGTTGCTGGTTCTTCTCCCTGGTCTATGGGAGCTGTATGTCCCTGACTAGTGCTATCTACAGAAACTGTGATCGACCAAGAACTCTCTCTCCCCCTGACAGGTTCATGTGAGGTCCTTATTAGTGCAACTAGTGTTAACTAATTGCTTGTTACACAGAAAAGGTAAGAATGACATGTTTGTTATTTTAATACAAAAAAAAGAACCTTTAATATCACTTTAAATGTGCAAGAGTTCACCTGCAGGATTTTAAAAAATTTCTTCTAATCCTCCCTAAGGGAAGGAAAATACTATCCCTTGTGCTTGTTGGCTGTAAAGAGTATAGGGAATGATAGTCTGGATTATTGTGAAGCAGCAAGTAAGAATATGTAAGAGAAGAGGACAGCAATAGAGATCTATTGTGTACCTCTAGGATGTTAGAATGAAGAAAAGGTCCCTGGGCATCTTTCCACAGTATAGGGTAAATGTGAAAAACATGCATCTCTTCCCTTTAGCAGGGGTGATGGCAAACTTTCATTGAGGGGAAGGTTTCTGAGCAGGGGGACTTAAAGGTAGATGTCCTGCCTCAAGGAGAATGAACTAAAGTGGATGGTGAAGGCCTGAGTGGCTGAATGAATCTTATACAAAGAGTGGGGAAAATATATTAGAGAGGGAAGGATGGTTATGGATAGTGAGATAGGAACCACCTTCCCTTGGCAGCCACCTAAATGTGTTCATCAAGTGAGGTTCTAAAAAGGAGCTCGCCTTTGAAGGGCAGGCTTTCAGCCATAAAATGCTGCACATATGCACAGAAATGGAGGACTTCAAAAGTGTCTCCAAACATCTATCAATTGAATGCTTGAGGGAAGGAACATTATCAACAGAAAAAGAAGATTGATTATTTAGTGAAATGATGTCTGGGTCCACAACAAGAACAGCACCAAACTTTCCTTTTATAGTATACAAGGCATCAAAATAGTCAGGACAGGAAACAACCCCTCTGAGTTGGGTCAATCATTATATAAGACCCATTTTGCTTGACCAATAGTAGGGAAAGGCTTCCTAGGTATAGGCCATGATTTAGTGCTTGAAAGAGTCTGTGGCCGATGAGCAGGACAGGTCTACCTATCCCTAGTACACACTGCCTCCACCAAAGAGTCCACAGTAGCTAACATGTTAACAAAGCAGCTTCATGAAACTCTGGTGGTGAAAACTAATTCCAGCTTTCTCTAAAAGGTCAGTGTCTGCTTCTACATCTGGAAATGGAAAGGAAGTATGTCATTCAGGTTGTAATGTCTGAAAATAACAAGTGGAAGGAGAGACAGAAAAGTATTTATGAATGATAGGACCCAGTGGCTCCAAAAGTGGTGATAGCCTTTGGAAAAGATCAAACATAATGGCAAATAATCCTGCTTAGATGGACAGGCTACATGTAGTGCATCTGTGAGTGAGTCCAACATAGGGGGCTGGAGCTGTGTCTTTATGTGAGCTTGCTCCACAACAAGGAAATTTCTGTCAGCCTGAGAGGAACTTGCAATTTCCTCAGGGCCTTCACCAGAATTTCTGCTGTCTGTCCCATGTGCTCCTCAGCATCTTTAATCTGCCATAGCTAAGACAGGATCCTCTCCTGCAGGGCAATCATGGACTAGATGCAGACTGAGGGGTTTAATGTCTCCAGTATGAAGGAATCTCAATAACCCAAGCACCAGAACCAGAAGAAGCTCATTGGATAATTCATTAGATCAAAGCTTGCTAATGACATAATAGTTTTTCTTTTTTGAGTATCCACACATAATGTATGGACTTGGCCATCCTTGAGTGGCAAATTTTCAGTAGCAAAAGCTGTTAATTCTCTATGTTGTGTGTACTCCACAGGCTTGTGGTGAAAAAGTAAAATGCTTGTGGTTGTCAAAATCAGATAATGGAATGAGCTTCAAGGTCCGAGCAGCTTAACATGCATGTCTTCTGTCCAAGCATATACTGAATTCTGAGTTCTGGGTAAAGTGGAACATTGCCATCAAAGTAATTTACAAGAGACATTTTAAAAGGGCCAAAGGGGATGGAAATGAGTGAAGAGCCTGAGAGGGGAAACATTTCTTGAGTCCATCCATTTTGTGCACAAGTGTGTATGACTTCTTTAGCTTTATAGCAGAGAGTCAAGTTGATCCTGTAAGTGTGGGAACACCCAAGGGGGCACTACACAGTGGATGGTGCAAAAAGGAAGCAGTGGACTTGCACAAGTTATAAATTTAGCGGTGGATTTGCACAAGTTATATACTGTATATTTGAACACTTTAAGTTTGAAGAGACAGTGAGATATTTGCACATTCATACCATTGAGCACTTATGTGCATGAAAAGACTTACAATGTTTTATTAATTTTTTATTTTTAACATACTATATATTTGCACTGATTTATTTAAGATGATTTGTTTATAGATAGCGCTGTGAGGACAAATTTGTGTAAGATCTTGAAGGGAAGCATTTATAAGACACCTTTGTAACAGCAGCAAGGAAGGACTATTTCTGCCAAGTGGTATGAGGTGGCATAAATGACCATGGTTGGAAGTGCTGGGAGGGGAGTATTAATGACACGATGAAAAGGAGATGGAGCCCATTTTTATGACAGTCAGCTGTCAGTTGGTGAGGCAGTTATTGAATATGGGCCCCATCCTTTTCCACCACGTCATCACACTCTTCTCCTAGGAATTTATCCCACCACATCCATTTTTTAGCCCAAATAATTGTTTGTATACATGTGTATATGGGTATACAAGTGCATACAAGTGTAAATGGGTACACGTGCATATGCTGTATGTATAGAAATTATTGAATGTGACTTTTATTCATTTAACCTTGTCAAATAACTATTTTTATTTTCATTCATCTGTTATGTTGTTGCCCTAAACAAGGGGCAATGTGTGACCCCAAAACGCATTTGGCTCTTATACCTAAGTAATATTTGGAACAAACCTTATTTTGAACATTGTTGGTGTGGCACTTTGATTTCAGATTCAGATATTGTCTTCACATGGTTCTGGCAGTGAGGAGGAGGAATGGAACAGGAGGAGGAAACCTACAGCCATAGTGTACCCACTCTGTCACATTGCAGAGGAAAGGACAGACAGCAGAAAATGGAGAGGGAAAATCTATGACCAGGGGAAAGGCAGGAAAGAGCAAAAAAGCTAGGCATAGAATCCTAGGTCCATAGGCTGCTTGCCTTTCTTCAAATCAACCATGTGAGAGAGGCAGACTGGATCATGAGATTTTGATGATAGACTGCAGGCTGTATTTTGATTTTGATAAGTATATACATTTTTTTAACATTTCATTATTTAAATCTTTAATATTTTTTCCATGCAAGATAAGGCCGCCAGCTCACTCACCTCACAGAAGTGTTGACTACAAGGAATACCACGTTGTAGCTAAGAGTATGAATGTTTACAATGGCTTTAAAAAGGCAGTTTCTAAAGCACAGAGAAAACCAGATTTAGATTCCATGGAGTCACATGAACAGGAGGAGATACATGGAAGATTTCCTGTATAACATATGTGTAGCCAAGAACGACGATTGGTCAGCAGTGAGCAGTATCTAATTCTACCTTACAAATTATATAAGGGTGTTCTTACTATCCTTAAATATTCATCTATTGTGTTGCGGCTCATCTAAAGCAGAAAGGGTGCTTCAAATACCATATATCTGGGCATTGTTTAAAAGGAGAAGACGGGAAACAGAGAGTTCGTAAAGAGTGGAGGAGAAAGACAGAGATATTTGTGTATATACGTAATAATTAAGGTAATAAAGAAAATTAGAGGTGAGAGTTCTGGGAGCACTGAGGTGGCACAGGATTGTGCAAGGTATACCTTGAGTACGGGCACTTTATAGAACTGTTGGTGTTGGCTACACATATAGACTGACTGATTTAAGCACTTTATTTATCTTCACATATGTTATATGGACTAATTAATCAAAGTACTTTATTTATTCACATTGATATGAGATTCAGAAGTTATGAAATCATGTGACATTTATGGCTTTATGTATTAATTTATTTGCAAATAATATTGTTATAGATAAGTTTTATAGGCAGCAGCGCTACATTACTTACTATCACTTTATTGCACGTTTATGTGGGAACACATATTTATGTTACCCGCAGCAATCACTTATTGTTAGCCACTATTTTACATCTTACATGTTATAGGATTTAGTTGGCTCAGGAGTTTTTTGTTGTCTTATATGACTGCTGGAAACCCACTCCTTTATAAAGAGGGGACTGGCTTAACCAAAAGCCCCTCTAAGCCAGCTGCCTAAATTCAAATGCCAGGCAGTGAATCATGTTTGCTATGGAGATGAAATCCTGCATTAGTTTTGTTGGTCCCTGAACCTCAAACAAGCAAGGTACACCTAGAACTCATGGTAGACCTGAATCCAAACCTTATTGTCACAGAGATGTATTTATTCATCATTGGATGCATTATTACATGGACATTTTAAACTTGTTTTTAAGGGTTTTTTTGAACAATTTATTTTTGTTTCATGTGATATGAAACAAAAATTAGCTAGAGATACATATTAGGATGTAATTTATAAGATTTTCATTAAAAACATATTTCTCCATTTTGTTTTGAGGAATGGTTTCAAGAAATGACACGGAGGTTGTGGAATTTATTCTTCTTGGACTTTCTAGTGATTCAAAAACTGAAGTTATTCTTTTTTTTTTATCTTTATGGTTGGGTATTTGATCATTTTGAATGGAAACATTCTAATCATTATTTTAATTTTAACAAGCACCAATCTTCATACACCTATGTATTTCTTTCTTTCAAACCTTTCTTTTCTGGATCTCTGTTTTTCAACCTCAATCATTCCAAGGATGCTGAGAGATTTGGTTTCAGAAAAGAAGACAATCGCTTACGCAGAATGTGCAACACAGCTTTATATGTCTCTCGCCTTAGGTCAAACTGAGTGTATTCTGCTGTCCATAATGGCATATGATCGTTATGTAGCTATATGTTTTCCATTACACTACACTACCATCATGAATAAAATGATTTGTGTCAGAATAGCTGCTATCACATGGATGTGTGGATTCCTTATTCCTATTTCACAAGTGGCTTTTACTCTTAATGTAAATCTCTGTGGAAAAAATAAAATAAACCATTTTCTATGTGAAGTACCAGAAATCTTATCTATGTCATGTGAAAACACCATTTTCATTGAAGGAATTACGTATGTAGTTGGTGTGATTATTCTTATGACACCTGTTACATTTATTGTAGTGTCATATGCTAAAATTATCATAAGCATCCTTAAAATTGCATCATCGGTTGGAAGGAGGAAAGCCTTTTCAACATGTGGATCTCATATGATAGTTGTAACAATATTTTATGGTTCAGCAATAGCTGCCTATATGAAGCCTAGGTCAAGTTCAACACCAGAAACAGACAAAGTGATTGCCTCTTTTACATCATAGTAGCACCAATGTTAAATCCTATAATTTACACACTTAGAAATAATGACGTTAAATCTGCATTTCTAAAATTTAGACATAGATATTATTTCTGCTGTTAATATGAATGGTACCTACAGCTTTAAGATGAGTGTTGCCTCATTCTGCATATTTCATCTGGATTAAGCAGAAATTATTATGCCTATAAGTACCTACAAGGATATAAATGAGTACATTTTTAGAAAACATTGGACAGAGCTCTGATATGTACAACAAGGTCTTCTGCATCTTGCTGGAGCATGTGTCACAAATTTCATAGTTATTATCTGTCATGTAAAACCAAATAGAGAACGTAGAAACTGCCATAGGCAGATATGCAAAGCTGGAAACTAAGGTGCAAATATGTAAGAAAAACTACAGCCTGGGTGAATGACCCTTTTTCTCTAACATACTATTTAATACAGATATCAACCAAAGCTTCACCCAAAATGTTTTGTTTCATTTTGGATAGAGGAGGGAAGGCTTAAGGCCTCTGTCAGTTTTTTATTGGCCATACTACATAAAAATCACACGTGATATCTATTTAATCAGAAGACTTTGTCAGTTATATTTTGGGATAAATATTAGGAATGAGTGAATGTTCCTGGACTTGATATGCAGAGACTTTGACAAATCCTGTTTGAAATTCATGAAAATTGAATATACAGGTGAAACTCAAAAAATTAGAATATCGTGCAAAAGTTCATTTATTTCAGTAATGCAACTTAAAAAGTGAAACTAATATATGAGATAGACTCATTACATGCAAAGCAAGATAGTTCAAGCTGTGATTTGTCATAATTGTGATGATTATGGCTTACAGCTCATCAAAACCCCAAATCCACAATCTCAGAAAATTAGAATATTGTGAAAAGGTGTCCCACTGTAATCCGCTAATTAAGCCATAACACCTGCAAAGGGTTCTTGAGCCTTTAAATGGTCTCTCAGTCTGGTTCAGTAGAAATCACAATCATGGGAAAGACTGCTGACCTGACAGTTGTGCAGAAAACCATCATTGACACCCTCCATAAGGAGGGAGAGCCTCAAAAGGTAATTGCAAAAGAAGTTGGATGTTCCCAAAGTGCTGTATCAAAGCATATTAATAGAAAGTTATGTGGAAGGGAAAAGTGTGGAAGAAAAAGGTGCACAAGCAGCAGGGATGACCGCAGCCTTTAGAGGATTGTCAGGAAAGGGCCATTCAAAAGTGTTGGGGACTTTCACAAGGAGTGGACTGAGGCTGGAGTCAGTGCATCAAGTGCAACCACACACAGATGCTGAACATGGGCTTCAAATGTTGTATTCCTCTTGTCTAGCAGCTCCTGAACAACAAACAATGTCAGAAGCGTCTTACCTGGGCTAAAGAAAAACAGACCTGGTCTGTTGCTCAGTGGTCCAAAGTCCTCTTTTCTGATGAGAGCAACTTTTGCATCTCAGATAAAAGAAGGGCAAAACAAGCGCTAGATGAGGTAGTGAAAGTGATACAAGCCGCTGGCATAAAAGGCAAAACCTCAAAAGCCTCCTGATAAAATTGCTAAAACATAAAATATGCAGCGCTAAACCAAATATAGACAAATAAAATGAATACCAAATAAAAATGCATAATATGCACATGGACAATGAAGAGATTGGTACGGAAACCAATGGTATTTGGTATACATTTTATTTGTCTATATTTGGTTTAGCGCTGCATATTTTATGTTTTAGCAACTTTTGCATCTCATTTGGAAACCAAGGACCCAGAGTATGGAGGAAGAATGGAGAGGCACACACTGCAAGATGCTTGAAGTCCAGTGTGAAGTTTCCACAGTCTGCGTTGATTTGGGGAGCCAGGTCATCTGCTGGTGTTGGCCCACTGTGCTTCATTAAGTCCTGGGTCAACGCAGCCATCTACTAGGAGATTTTGGAGCACTTCATGCTTCCTTCCGCAGACGAGCTTTATGAGGATGCTGACTTCATTTTCCAGCAGGACTTGGCACCTGCCCACACTGCCAAAAGCACCAAAACCTGGTTCAATGACCGTACGATTACTGTGCTTAATTGGCCAGCAAACTCGCCTGACCTGAACCCCATAGAGAATCTATGGGACATTGCCAAGAGAAAGATGAGAGACATGAGACCGAACAATGCAGAAGAACTGAAGACCACTATTGAAGCATCCTGGTCTTCCATAACACCTCAGCAGTGCCACAGGCTAACAGCTTCCATGCCACGCCGCATTGAGGCAGTAATTGCTGCAAAAGGGGCCCATACCAAGTACTGAGTACATATGTATGCTTATACTTTTCAGAGGTCTGATATTGTTCTATGCACAATCCTTGTTTTATTGATTGCATGTAATATTCTAATTTTCTGAGATTGTGGATTTGGGGTGTTCATGAGCTGTAAGCCATAATCATCACAATTATGACAAATCACGGCTTGAACTATCTTGCTTTGCATGTAATGATTCTATCTCATATATTAGTTTCACCTTTTAAGTTGCATTACTGAAATAAATGAACTTTTGCACGATACTCTAATTTTTCGAGTTTCACCTGTTTTAACAAATCCTGCTAAAGTCTGTAGGGGCAAATCTTAATAGCAAATTCTGTCCATTTTTAAAGCTAATAGGCAAGCACTATTTGGCCTATTGAATGTTATCTTGGAGTGTCAAGAGAAGCAAGTATTTATGACAGGATGGGTGTAAGAAAAGGCTGCATACCAAAATCCTTGTCTTAGGAGTTCACACATACCCCTTAGCGGTGGGGGAAGGAGATAAGAGAGCCTCAGCCTAGACTCATTGGCAACAGGAGTAATAAAAGGACAGATTATATGACTCCTAGCCAGAAGTGATCGACCTGGGTCCAAGCATGGTTGGCAATACAACAGTGCCCCCTGGTGAAGCGTTGTTGGCAATACAGCAGTGCCCCCTGGTGGAGACTACCTACTTCTGGAAGTAATCCTACACTTCCTAATGAATAAGGAGGGCAGCCCCTTATGAGTTATGGATGCTTGCTTATTGGATGGAAAACTATACCAGGCAGGTCAAGGGTGTGTTTGTAGGCAGTGCTTGAGAGGGCCTTTAAATAGAGTGAGAACTGAAAAAAATAGGCACTGTGGAAAATGCTCTCAGACAAGCACCTTGCCGCTCTGACATGGGAACAGCTAAAAAGATACTCAGTTTTGAGGATGAACTTTTGTAATGTATCATCTTTACTATTATTCCTACATACTCTGTGATATTGGTTTAGATTTCTCTGTTAGGGTTTTTCTTTCTTTGTAAATAAATAAGACTTGGCTTCTTTGAGCATTGTGTTTATTATTGTAGCTAATATTGCAGTGTATTACATCCTTCAATATTGTCAAAGCTTACATATTTACTAATTAATTATAGGAACAGACAAGTAGTACATAATTGTATAATGAATATGGGGATTCCAGAAAACAACCCCCCTTTATTAGTTATTTCATTTGGCACCCCAAAAGCAGGAGTGTGGAAAAACAAATTCCGCACAAAACTCAAACCCTAATCTACTTTTGTTTTGAGTTCCTATAAGCTAAGAAGTCCAAAACTCTACAAGAGCCCCAGAACCGAAGGCATTCATCTCTGCTGTGGACAAGATTTGCGCTGGTTCGTGAAGTCTGAAGCCCTGCAAGAGTGGTACTGAAGTTTCTGTGAATTACTCAATCTGTGAGTGCACATGCATATCTGGTGAGTATAAAGTTTTTGTATCTTTGGCTGGTATATGTGTATGTAGCATCCCAAATTACTTTCATTGAATTAATATCAATTTAAAAAATACTACTTCATGTGGCTTGACAGGTAAGAAATAGTAGTCCCCCAAATGTATTTTAATTTTTTTGTCAGAAAAGGGGTAAGTTTGCTGCTGTACCCAATTCCTACTCCTTTACTAGCTCCTCCAAAACCCTTGAAACTGGCTAAAATCAGATATGACAGAAATGTTCAAAGGTTGGCTTGTTGCAGAAGCAAAGGTTTCAGAAAAGATTATAGCAATATGCAGCTGTTCCTAGGGTCTCTATCTCTCCTTGATCTCTATATATAATACACTATATTGTCAAAAGTATTGGGACACCTGCCTTAACAGCCACATGAACTTTAATGGCATCCCAGTCTTAGCACGTAGGGTTCGATATTGAGTTGGCCCACCGTTTGCAGCTATAACAGCTTCAACTCTTCTGGGAAGGCTGTCCACAAGGTTTAGGAGTGTGTCTATGGGAATGTTTGACCATTCTTCCAGAAGCGTATTTGTGAGGTCAGGACGAGAAGGCCTGGCTCGCAGTCTCAGCTCCCAAAGGTTGAGGTCAGGACTCTGCAGGCCAGTCAAGTTCCTCCACCCCAAACTCGCTCATCTATGTCTTTATGGACCTTGCTTTGTGAACTGGTGCACAGTCATGTTGAAACAGGAAGGGACCATGCCCAAACTGTTCCCACAAAGCTGGAGGCATGAAAGTGTCCAAAATGTCTTGGTATGTTGACACCTTAAGAGTTCCCTTCACTGGAACTTAGAGGCCAAGCCCAGCCCCTTAAAAACAGCCCCAAGCCATAATCCCCCCTCCACCAAACTTTACACTTGGCTCAATGCAATCAGGCAAGTACCATTCCCCTGGCAACCGCCAAACCCAGACACGTCCAGCGGATTGCCAAACAGAGAAGCATCATTTGTCACTCCAGAGAACACGTCTCCACTGCTCTAGAGTCCAGTGGCAGTGTACTTTACACCACTGCATCCAACGCTTTGCATTGCACTTGATGATGTAAGGCTTGGATGCAGCTGCTCGACCATGGAAACCCATTCCATGAAGCTCTCTATGCACTGTTATTGTACTAATATGAAGGCCACATGAAGTTTGGAGGTCTTTAGCTATTGACTCTGCAGACAGTTGGCGACTTCTGGGCACTGACCCCGCTCTGTCATTTTACATGGCCTATCAC